AAGAACGGTCATACTGGGTCAGACCAAAGGTCCATCCAGCCCAGTATCCTGTCTTCTGACAGTGGCCAATGCCAGGTGCCCCAGAGGGAATGAACAGAACAGGTAATCATCAAGTGACCTATCCCCTGTCACCCATTCCCAGCTTCTGGCAAACAGAGGCTGGGGACACCATCCCTGCCCAGCCTGGCTAATAGCCATTGATGGACCTATCCTCCATGAATTTATCTAGTTCTTTTTTGAACCTTGTTGTAGTCTTGGCCTTCACAACATCCTCTGCCAAGGAGTTCCACAGGTTGACTGTGCATTGTGTGAAAAAATACTTCCTTTTGTTTGTTTTAAACCTGCTACCTATTAATTTCATTTGGTGACCCCTAGTTCTTGTGTTATGAGAAAGAGTAAATAACACTTCCTTGTTTACTTTCTCCACACCAGTAATGATTTTATAGACCTCTATCACAGTTGTCTTTTTTCCAAGCTGAAAAGCCCCAGTCTTATTAATCTCTCCTCATGTGGCAGCCATTCCATACCCCTAATCATTTGTGTAGCCTTTTTCTGAACCTTTTTCAACTCCAATTCCAATATATCTTTTTTGAGATGGGGTGACCACATTTGCACGCGATATTCCACATAGTGGAAAGTGGAGCTTAAAGGAATTACTACATTGGGCAATGCTGATTGGTATTCTAATTCTGCCTTTAGTAGAAATAGCACATTCTGGAGAGGATACTTCCAGGGATGATATTATTAAACCCTTGACAGCCCCCACTGGTGTGTAGTGTCCATGGAGAGGTACTGAAAAGTGATTGGGAGAAATCTCTAAGGAGCAGCAGGTAACTTCCGATTTGACCGCTGATATTTTCTTACTTAAGTTTATCGTCTTCTCTTACTCAGTGGTAGAAGAGTGCTGCTACAGCGAAAACTCATTTACAAATGTAGCTTTCCCTTAGACTGTAAAGAACCCAATCAGACAACAACCCCTAGCCAGATAAAACACCCAATGAAATCAATGGGAATTTTGCTCACATACTGTAACTCTGCAAGATCAGGACCAAAGCAAAGTCAGCTTTCTCTCTGATTAGGACTTGGTAACCTTTCCTTTTTCTATGCTCTTTTGATACACATCTCAAGAGAGGAATGATTCATTCTGTGGATTTTTGTAACACTCTGATATCTGTGTTATGGTTTGTGACAACTATTTATATACTAAATATCACACTTTGCTAGTTTGCTAGTCATCTAACCATTAGCAAGTAGTAAATAATAGTCACATATTTTCAAACTGGAAATGCAATAAATACGGGAGCTAGTTGTGCTCCCGCTGAAGTAAATGGGAATCTTTTCATTGACTTCAATGGGAATTTGATCAGGCCTGAGATGAAGACTCAAAATGAGGTATCAAAACACACAGATGAAACCAGCACTGCGTAGCACTGAAGGTAACACTCATTATAGATGCCGTACCAAGTGGGCCCAATCCAGCACCCACTGGTGTCAATGGAAAGACTCTCAGGCCTGGACCCACAAAGGGACTTAGGCATCTCTTTCAGGCCTAATGACTATTTAAGTATTTATCCAAAATGGGCCAGAGAGAAAGCAAGAGAATGGCACTATAGGCCTGTGGTTAGGGCACCCCCCTGGGAGGTCGGAGACTGTGGGTCCAGTCCCCCTGCTCCAATCACTCTTCCATTATTTATCCACAGTGGAACAGCTTCAACAGGAGCAACTGAGGGAGCCCCACATCAGACTATCCTCTAGCTCAGTGGTTAGAGCAGGCTCCTGAGAGGTGGGAGACCCCCTGTTTAAATTGCTTCTCCTGAACAGGTGGGGGTGGTGGTAATGGAATTGAACGTGAGTCTCCTACATCCCAGATGAGTGCTCTAACCACTGGGCGGTGACAGCAGCTCTTCCTCTGGCTGGATTTCCAAGAGGACTCGACGGAGGGCAAGTCTACACTACAGTGCTACATTGGTGCAACTGTGGTAGAGCGTCGCCTGCCAACATAGTGCCAGTGTGGACAGCACTTAAGCCAGTGTAACTTACGTCGCTCAGGGGATCTCTTTCACACCCTTGAGTGCCATAAGTTGCATCGACTTAAGCAGTAGTGTACACCAGCCCTGAGTGGGTGGTCTTTGAGCATGTCTCCCAGATCGGGCCCCACAAGATAGGTGAGCAAACACCTATCTTCCCCAGGTTTGTGAATCCCTCTGGGGCTTAGGTGGCAGATAGGTGTCCGAACATCTAGTGAGAGGCAGCAGTGCACATACCCAGCGACAGGAACTTAGGCTCTGAGAGAACTTTCACTGCAAGAACATAGGCACTGAGTCAGTTTAGGCATGTATAGGGTTTGGCAGGAGTCTTGTGGATGGCAATGGAACCTATAAGTGGGACTTCGGCACCTAAACCTGAGAGTTAGGCACCTGGCATTTATGATCAGGGCCTCATTGATTTCCATGATAACAGAATCAGTCCCTATTTGTGTATGTGTGTTCACATTGTATTGTAAAGATTCTATTGGCACGAATTGATAAAATTACACATAAATTATAAGCGGTGGAACTCAAGTAAATTATGCCCATCACCCTAAACAAATTCTGATGAAACTTTTATACCCCCCCACCCCCACACACACCCATTATGTATGTTGTTTCTGTTGCCTTTTAGTGACCAACTTTTTTATAATTGGAGCATTTTGGTATTTTTCAGTCCATCTGCCTCAGGTAAACCTAGGTTACCTTAAATTACCATATACAAACTTGTGAGTGTTAGGAAATATAGCCTAGACGGTTTAAACAACTCTACAAATAGCTTTTCTGCATATCAGAGTGTCATGACTGTAGGGTTCACTCTAACTTTGTCCTCTTAGCCTGAAATTCCAGTTCTCGGGGCTCGTCTACACTTTCAGCACTGCAACTGCACTCATGCAGCTGCACCACTGTAGCACTTAGTGAAGACACTACCTATTCTTCTTCTTCTGTAGGCATAGGTACCCCACCTCCTCAAGAGGCAGTAGTTAAATTGACTTTTGTGGCATTCTTTTATTTATTTTTTTTAAGATGACTTTAAAAGTTGCTCTGAAGTTTGGAATGTTAAAGTCCTGCTGCAGAGCAGGGAGACGAATGCAGGTGAAACAGTCAAAGGTGTGAAATAACAGCAGTTTAATGGTTGTAGAATGAATGGGATTCTTCATGTAGCTATCATTGCCACCTATGTGATATAATGTATATGGGACGAGGAAGAGATTTTTTTATTTTCTCGGTTTTATTTAATTTGTATCATATACGGATGGCCTTAAGCATAGGCAAAGGAAGCAGTCACTTGGATTCTTATGTTATGGAAGCACTGGATTTTCCCCTCCAGCAGCAGATGTAGAGAGGAAGCAATTTGCCCTCAGAATTGCCCAGGGGCATAAGAAATTCTTGTCCTAATGCTTCCCCATCTGACATTTTTTCCGTGTCCTACTTTTGCATGGAGTCACACCAAAAGCCAGGCTAGCCCTGGTGTTGTGTCATTATTTTAATCATTTTGGCTATTTACAGCCTTTGTGATAATGCAGTAATGAATGTTTATTGAAGTAAGACAACTTGGAACCCACAAGCTCATCCTAAAATACAAGGTGCAGCCGATGTGTTTCAGAAACTGTTAGCCTGGGGCTCTATGTAAACATTTTTTTTCCCATCTTGCTTTAAAAATAGTTAGTTCGCATAAATTGTCTGCTTCTTGGAACATTTGTGACTGTGCTACCATCAGGATAAAAGTTTCTTCACTTCTTCCTGTCTTCACTTCTCCTCTTTTCCAACGGGCTTCTTTCTGGTTTTTTGCTTGTTTGTTTTCCCTTGCACTGACCATTTTATACCTAGCTAAAATCCCACAAAAATTTTTAATTCCAAAAAAGTATTTACACATCAGCATGCATAGTTATTTAAAAAAAAATCTAACCATCAATTAATGCTTTCCAGATCATTATGAAAAATACGTATTTTAATCATGTGATTATTTAGCAGCCAGTGCAACATTTTTTTCTTTCATGGTATAAGGAAAAGTATAATTAACTTCTGAGTGTTTTGGTTTGATTTAAATCAGAATGTCAGATGAATTCAAGGCTGCTGCACCGTTATCTTTCTTTGGACGTTGACCTAGCTTCATCTGTTCATCTGCTGCAGCATTGGATTGGGTGCCTGCTCACCTTGGGTATAGTTGAGGTTACATCAAAGCAGTCCCTGCATCTTCATATGCCCATATCTTTGTGAGGAATTCTCTTTTTTGGGGACTAAAATTTGTCATGCTCGGTCTCAGCCTAGAGGTTCTGTATGTATTTATTTTGCTGGTGAGTTTGAGCAAAATCCTTTCAGCTATTTGAAGAATGGTGGATAGGCCCTGATGGTCAGGGATGCAACCCCATGCTCTGGATGTCCCTAAGCCTCTCACTGCCAGGTGTTGGGACTGATCACTTGATAACTGCCCTGTTCGATTCATTCCCTCTGAAGCATCTGGCATTGGCCACTGGTGGGAGACTGGAGGCTGGGCTAGATGGACCATTAGTCTGACCCAGTGTGGCTGTTACGTTGTAGCCTGTAGCTGCTATTGGGAGGGAGGGGCGCATTGGGAGCCCAGGGGGTTGCTGGAGGAGGCTGTGATGTCCACTAGCTCCCAGGGGCTGGTTAGCTAGTTAGTAGCTAGTTAGTTACTAACCTGGTTAGTAACCTCCCCCTCCCCCCTTGAGTGGGGCTTGGGGTCAGTGAGGGGACCCAGGTGTGGCCCTTGGATGGGGCACGTCTTAGGTCTGCTCCAGCCCTGTGGGGAGAGGAGGGGCGGTGCGGCTGGCTGGGTGCCCGCCGGGTGGCCGCTTTCCTGGGGAACACAGAAGGGGCGGGCCCTGGGCGAGCGTGTAATCGGATAGCTCTGCCTCTCCGCGCTGACATGCAGGCGCGGCGGCCTGAAAAGGCTGCGAGGAGCCGGGAGGGAGGCACAGGCAGGCTCCCAGCGCTGCGCGCCTGAACCTCTCCAGAGAGAGACGCAGGCGGGAGCGGGGTGTGTGCGTGTGTGTGCGGGGCTAGGGAGACACGCGCGCACACCACTCGCGGCCCGGCCAGCGGCACGTGAACCCTCCGCCTCTCCCAGTGCCACTGCCCGGAGCCCCGGCCACAGCCACGCAGGGCAGGGAAACCACGCGCCGCGGCGCCACCCGGCAGCCTCCAGCCCTGGGGCGGTGCGATGCCCCGGGCGAGTCACTGCTGCCGCTGGCTCTCGGGGAGTGGGGGCGATGGTGCGTTGAAGGAAATGACCCGCTGAGGGACTGTGGCGGTCACACACACACGCGCGTTGCAGGCACACGCGCGATTTGTAGACTCGGTTTTGGGGGTGGAGGGGAAGCAGCAGCCGGTTTCCCTCGCTTCTGCATTGAAGGAGTTCCTGGGCTTCTGCTCCTGCTAGTGGGTTTGTACAAGGCAGCGGAGCGGGGGCAAGGCAGGACGCCAAGGCACGGAGGAGGAGGAGAAGCGAAAGACAACTCGGAACATTTGCCGAGGAAATTCTAAGGTGCGGGGTGAAGACCAGCGTGACTTCCAGTTCCCGAGGAAAGCCCCTAGCAAACCCGGCGGGGGAGAAAACCACCCTTTCCCCGCTAACCATGGATACATTGCCTCTCGTTTGGGGATTTTTAGCTCTGTCCTTGGCTGGATCCGGAGTGCTAGGCGAAGCAGGTAAGACACCCAAAAGTTAATTTCCTCAGCTGTACATGTTAATCGTTTGCCTTTGAAAGCAGGCAGGGGATGAGGCGTCCTCTCTTCCCGTTACACAATTCCACAGCAGGTTTGCTTAGCTAGAGCCAGGACTCTCTCCCCTTGCTGGAAACACAACTTTTCTCTCCCTGGATGCAGTGTGCTGAGGTCTGGGTGTCTATGTTTTGAAACACACTCACACGGAGACAGGCTTTGGCTGTGTTCAGATGTCACATATGGAATAAATCAAAAGGTTTTTTTTTTACAGAAAAAAAAAACTACAAAGCCTTTGCATTACAGTTTTCGGGAGATTTTTTTTAATGTTTTGAAGCAGAACATATCTCCCTGGAGTTTTTTTTCCCCCAACCCAGCCAGAAAGGCATCAATAATTTATAGCCACTCGGTTGTAGATACATTTACCAAGTCTAATTAAATAAGGGTTGAATGGGCAAGGGAGGAAAGCAACCTATTTTTGCATCTGAAAAAGTTCGTATGTTTTTAAGACGGGGTGGCGGTGTCAAAAAACACCCACATGGCTCTCAGCAGATCATTTTGTGCCTACCGTCTAATAAAATGCACCGCTCTGTAGCAGCTGGGGATGCCCGCCTCCTCCCTTCAGTGTCTGCGTTTCCAGGGAAAGAGAAGCTGGGGCATCTACATTTTTATTAATAAAACAAACAGTGCGGACCTCCGAGGTCTAAGGAGCCCTCTGAAGTGGTTAGAAACTTTTCTTGATGGAATTCGGTCCTAAGCAGTTGCCAAAAGAGAAAAAAAAATGAGGGGTGTGGGGGGAGCGGAGAGAGGAGTGGAGGGATGAGGACAAACTGTGTTGAGATAAGGGCAACAAAGAGACTCCGATCAAATCCCAAATCCACTGTTTAATTCTGACAATCGGTAAATACGTTTGGGGCTGCGCCGAACAGCCGTGGAGGGACTGGAGTGTGGCTGGCTAACTCCCTCCTCGCTGGCGAAGGGCACACTAAACCCATTCTGCTTAATTACTCCGCCGGAGATCTGACAGAGCCCTTTCCGGCTCATTAACCGCTGGGCAGGGAGTGAAACCCTGATAAGACAGATCGGGCGGTGAGGGGGAGAACCCGCAAGAATAAATATACAAACCTCACATGTCCTACTGTTTATCGTCGTTCTTAAAAGATGTGCAAGTCCTGGAAGCCACTAGCTAACAGCCGGGAGGCGGGGTGAGCCGAGGCTAAGCTAGCATCATGCTCCCCCGTGGCTCCGCGTGGAGGCACTCGCTATATGTCAGTGAACATCATTATTTCATTGAGAGCGGAGCCTTCGTGCCACCACAGGCTGCGGAGCCTGTCACTTCTGATTCCCCCTGGGCGTGTGCCGAGGCGGAAGGAGAACCAGTGCCTGGCGCTGGGAAGCCCGGACACCTCCTGGCACCTTACGTGGGGCGGTAAAGTCCGGCTCAGGGGACACCGGTGCCAGGGGTTTGCATCTGAAAGTTCAGCTCGGCGCCTGGTCAGGGCTGCAGGCCGGGGGGTGCCCCTGGCCTGTCACAGAGCTCAGCCGGGCAGAAATGCAGCGTGCACGGGGCCCGGAGCGATGCACCTCGGACAAACGCACCGAGGCCAGCTCGGACTGAGAAACTTCCGCGCCTGCCCCCGGGGGGCCGTGCACCGAAAGCAGCGGGGGAGAAACTTTCAAGGGAAACCCTGTGAATGGGATTTACACTCAGACCAGCTCCGAGGGGTGGGTGTATGGGGGGGGGGGGTTTCCAGCTAAAGCGTGTCCCGCGGTGCAGAAACAAGCGGGGATAGGAACTGAGCCACACACCCAGTCTCATTCCTCCAGCGAGACAGGGCTTTCTGGTCTCTCCCTCCCTCCCCCGCCTCCAGCCGGCGGCTGCTGCGGCTCTCGTGTGCACGGGCAGCCTCGCTCCCACTCGGCATCGATCTGCTTGGGCCGGTGGAGCAGAGAGAAAGGCGGGGCGATCCGTACCAGTCCTGCCAGCACAGCGGTTACCCCGCCTAAGCCGGAGGCGAGACCGCTCAGCCAGAGACGCCCATTGACTGGAGGGAACCTCTGCTCGCTTCCACCGCGCCCTGCCACCAGCCCCTCCTGGTCCGGGCTCTCTGGAGGGGCTGCCTGCACTGGGGGGGGGGGGGGCAAATGTCTCTCCCCCCCCCCCCCCCCCCCCCCCAGTCAGAGAGTCAGACTCTCTCATTCGCTCCACCAGAAGTGATTTCAGTTGCAAATGAGCCTGGGGGTGTTGTTGCTTTTCCCACGTGAGGAGGAAATGCTGCTGGCTAATGCTTCATTTCAGCTGACTGATTCCTCCCTAAAACCAACAGCAGGTAATAGGGGAGATCAGAGCTGTGATTAAGCTCCCGTTTGCCGGAGCTGGGCTGAACTGCAGTTCTTCCCCGGCACCAAAGAACCTGAACCTAGTTTGGATCAGCACAGCAGTGACTGGTCTGTGGATGCATTAGTGTTGCCCCCTTAAGGTAGGGTGACCAGACAGCAAATGTGAAAAATCGGGACAGGGGGTGAGGGGTAATAGGAGCCTATATAAGAAAAAGAGACAAAAATCGGGACTGTTCCTATAAAATCGGGACATCTGGTCACCCTACCTTAAGGGGAAGTGCCATGGTAGAGGAAACTAGATCATTTATACCAAAGGGATTGGACGCCAACAGTCCTGTTTGGTTTCTTTTGCTATTATTTAAGATTCTTTTTTTGGTGATTTTAGTGCTTGTGAAAGGTAGGCGCCGGCTTTCACAGCCCTGGCCTGACCCAGGCAGAACACTTCTAAGGGAGAGTGTGTGGGAGTTCACAGTCCCTGCCCGTTCAGGCCTTGGCCTTTCAGAAGGCCTTGCCAATTAGCGCTGGTGATGATGTTTGATGTGGACATCTGTTCACTTAGGAACTAGGCTGAGACTGTAAAGAAAATATGTGCTGCAGGGAGCAGGCACAAGTACTGAATCACACACACTTGCAGCGGTGGGACTAGAACATGGCCCTTCAGCTCCAAAACTACAGGCTTGTCCGCTGAAAGGAATCCATAGCTGATTATAGTAGTAGGCTCTTTCCCCTACCTCTGGACAAGCCATGAGAGGGCAAAACCACACCCACCCACTACTAGAGGGCAAATGTATTCATACACCCTCCCCAGAGGGCCCCCTCCCTCCAACTATAGGACCATCTAACTCAGGGGTTCTCAAACTTCATTGCACCGCGACCCCTTTCTGACAACAAAAATTACTACATGACCCCAGGAGTGGGGACTGAAGCCTGAGCCCACCCAAACCCACCACCCCAGATGGAGGGTGGGGGGGGGCAAAGCCAAAGCCTGAGCCCCACTGCCCTGGTGGTGGTGGTGGGGTCAAAGCTGAAGCCAGAAGGCTTCAGCTCCAGACAGAGGGCCTGTAAACTGAGCCCCACTGCCCAGGACTTGGGCTTCGGTGCCAGGTGGTTGGGCTTTGGCTTTGGCTTTAGCTCCAGGCCCCAGCAAGTCTAAGCCAACCCTGGTGACCCCATTAAAACAGGGTCCCGACCCACTTTTGGGTCCCAACCCACAGTTTGAGAACGCCAGATCTAACTCATACAGCATATGCCACCAAGCAGCTCAAATGATGCCCTGGTGGGGATTTTAGCAGTCTGCCCCTGACTGACTGAGTTCATCCCTGTCCTGGACATCTCTGTCAGAGCAGATTTATCCCTGGAGTTTCATAACGCTCCTAAAGAAGACATTTATTGCCTTTGTTATGAACCAGATGACAGTTATTTTTCTTAAAAAAGGTCTCGTGAAGAAATCCACAGGCCCCTCCTGCAAGTTCTCCTGCTTTGCCCCACCCTCTGCCCCACAAGCCTTGCACTTCAAATTACAAAATGGAAAGACTTTGCTATTTGTTAGTCTCTAAGGTGCCACAAGTACTCCTGTTCTTTTTGCTATCTGGGAGATTCAGTGGATGTTACTGGAATGACGCATACTTCACTCTCTCCTATGCTGGCACAGGCATGTGTGGGAAAAGGGTTTTTTCCACAGTCTGAAAGGGGACATTGTGGGGGACACCCTTATTTGATGAAACAAGTCTCAGTACTTTCCCTAGGAATTGAAATTAGAGGGGTGTTCGAATTTACAGGGGCATTGGAAAACAGCTAAATTGGTAACAACACACGCAACTCTGATTCTGTTATGTGTTGTGTGCCCTCATGTCCTTGAGTAGATACAGAATCAGGTTCCTAGAGGTGAAGGGCTCTGTATCCATTACCATTCCCTGGTGCCATGCAGTTCAATAAAAATATTTGGGTGAGTGCCTTCCTCCTCCCCGCAATCCAGCCTCCGGAGCTGTTTGCGTTTGCAATGAAGTTCTCATCCTGTTTGACATGAGACTTTTTGTTGTCAAGGAAGTGGTTGTGATATCACAAATACTGGAATATGACATCATTGTGTAATCCAATAAGAGACGATAAACTGTGACAGGGCACACACTCTGATTTATATACAAGTAGTTTTAGTAATTAGCAAACATGGTAAGAAAAACATGTCAGAGGTGGATGGATTTATATTGGAAGTCTGGTGTATTTGAAAGCTTTCCCCCATTATGAGAGTCCCTCTTTAAGCTCCCCCAAGGGATGTAAATAGAGAGGGGAGAGATTTTTTAATAGACAATAATATGATAATCCACACAGAAAAAAACCTCTTCCAGTCATTTTTACTGTAAGAGATAAACACTGCAGCTGCCAATTTATTTGTAGTCAAGCAAAGTCTAAGATAACTATGTAGGGAGTGGGTTGGAGACCCTGGAAAGATAAATCTGATGGTTGGATGTCTGTGTGTTTTTCATCTTCCCTCAGCTGGTTGCAAAACCAATCAAATAAGAAAGTAAAGGTTTTGAGTGACCCAAGTACAGAGTGATTCAGATGATGTTTATGCAACTCTGAGCAATGCTCACTTGTAAAGACTTTCAAATATTTTCCTAAAAGCTGGTATTTTTAGAAATGACTTCTGT